GCAGGGCTCCTAAGGAGGTGCCAAGTTCTGGCAATTATGAACAAAGTAATCCGTCATGTCATGACAGCTCCCATTTAGTGATTGACCTCAAATGAGACTTTATTCCTAGGGTACAGACCAATGTACTTTGAAACTGCTTTAAAAGGGGAGAGAAGCTGCCTCTTGGGAGCAGACGCTTCAATTGTTACGCAGTAACTTTTCCATCTGCACACTCCTGTAGCCATACAGCTGAGCTGGACTGCTGTAACCTGAACCCCAGGTGAAACAGGGTTAAAGTTGCAATGATTTTGCTGCAGTCGTACCACTGCACAGACATAATAATGACATCATACCAGCTTGCATCAGATAGTGATGACACTAGTATCAAATGTCCGTCCCCACCATTAGAGCAGCTTGTATCCAAGGCATGGACCACACCACCCCAGATGCTTTCTGTTGGCAAAGCAGTGCCTCTGCATCCCACCAGGTCTTTCACTCATCCTCCAACACCTTCCAAACTGAGGCAACATAATGTACCAGCTAGCTCACCGTACAGTTCTACGCCTTCCTGGGTCCCAAAGCATCAAAATGAAGGCAATCAGACCCTTCTGCTCCCTGAAGACCTGGACAGACATTTCAGCCCTCCCAGGGTACCAAACAAAGCAAAAATTGCCACCCCACCCAGGATCCGACATGTCCACTTGAGTCAGGGCGGCCGCTCCCCATAGACACAGCCCTCCTTGGCTCCTGGACCCTCACCCATCAGTCAGTCAGACCCTCACCACCTGAGCTAGGCTCCCCCTTTTTGCTTCCTCCATCCAAGCCTGAAGCAGGTGTCACATCTACTGCAGACATACAATAGCAAATTCTGGATACAAGCCATGCTTCAGGATCAGCCACTGTGATGCAATCCTGCTTTATTGGGCTTCTTTTACTTACTGTAGCTAGTTACTGACCCATGGGCTGGCTTTTAGACCCACTCCCCGCTAACGGCCCTCCCTATAGCTGTCTCAGCCCCTCAAATGAGGAGCTGGAGCCAAGCAGGTGGCTCAGCAAGGGCCAACCCAGCTGGGACATGTATTGTAGCATTAGAGGTAGGAGGGGTAGTCTAGCTTTAGGCCAATGCTGAAGGCTTTCCCCAGCAGGCATCACAGGGCAGGATTGATTGTGTCTGTCTTAATTGATTCCTGACTCTTGTGGTATTCATACACCTCATTGCAGTGTTTATTAAGAAACATTACACAGGTGAAGAGCTAGCCTTGCAACCCTGCTGCAAGGTGGTAGGTTGCATTCTCCCTGTCTTACAAATAAGGAAACTGGGGCACATAAAGTGAAGTGACTTTTCCCCAGGCTATGGACACAGCCAGTAGCAGATCTGAGAACAGACTCTGAATTCTCACCCCTGAGCTTTTATCTTCACAAATCACTCGCTATTCCG